TGGCAACCAACTATGTATCCCTAAATGTAGTTTGCGCGAAACAATAATCGAGGAAGTTCATGGCGGTTCTTTGGCTGGTCATTTCGGGATGGATAAAACTTATATGATGCTTCAAGAGCATTATTACTGGCCAAAGATGGAAAGAGACACCGAACATTTCATTCGGCGTTGTACTACTTGTCAACTTGCCAAAAGCCACCCGTCCCACAAGCTCCCTGGGAAGACGTGAGTCTAGATTTCATCACCGGTTTACCACGAACGCAGCAAGGAAAGGATTCAATCATGGTGGTGGTTGATCGATTTTCAAAGATGGGACACTTTGTTCCGTGCCTAACAACTCATGATGCTTCACAAATTGCAGATTTATACTTTAGGGATATTGTCAAACTTCATGGCATTCCCCGAAGCATGGTTTCCGATCGAGACAGCAAATTCTTAAGTCATTTTTGGATGACTTTGTGGAGAAAAATGGGTACTAAACTCAAGTTTAGTACATCAAGCCACCCGCAACCCGATGGCCAGACGGAAGTAACAAACCGAACACTTGGTACCATCCTTCGTGCCATCATCAAGAAGAACATGAAACAGTGGGAAGAATTGCTTCCACATGCCGAATTTGCTTACAACCGCAGTCCAAGCAAAACAACAGGCGTTTCACCATTTGTTACTGTTTATGGTGTTAATCCCCTTACCCCACTTGATCTTAATCCAATTTTAACAGATACAAAGTACAGTTGGGAAGCGGAGAAACGAGCACAGGAGATACAAAATATTCACAACAAGGTCTGCGCAAAAATTGAGAAAATGAATGAGCGTGTCAGTGAAAAGATCAACAAGCGACGCAAGAATATGGATTTCCCTCGAAACGCAAGTCCAAGTTACTGCCCCGAGGAGATGGTCTGTTCGAAGTTTTAGCTAAGGTCAACGACAACGGATACAAGATAGACCTGCCTGGAGACTATGGAGTTTCAGCCACGTTCAATGTCACGGATCTCAGCCCGTACTTTGAACCTGAAGATATTCCGAGTTTGAGGTCAAACTCTTCTGAAGAAGGGGAGGATGATGTACCCCGGGATGCTCCTACAAGCACGGAGGTTACACCACAAACCATAAAACAAATCAAAGGGTTAATATCTAAGTGTTATGATCCTTGTTGGGCTGAACTCATTAACCTTTCGTACCCTAAAACCCAAACCATAACCCTGCTCCTCCAAAGCACTTCTTGATATCAAACCTTTCCATATCCTTTCCAAATATCCAAAGTCTTTTATTTCCATTTGATAAACAAAATAAAGTCTTTTCTCTCCTTTTTAGCCCTGAACGAGAATGAGGTCAGAAGGACAAGCCTTGTGTATTATTTCTACTTCTGTTGTTCCTTTTAATTAAAATAAAACCTCCCTTTCACTTCCCCACTTCAAACCCACGAATTTCCCAACTCTTTTACCCAAAAATCAGGCCACATTATGTTCCACAAAACAAAAACAAAATCAGGAAAAAGTTTTCCTTGATTGAATAGTGCTGATTTTGTCCTGTTGTTCAAAACCCAATCCCATTCATATCCTTCAGC